TGGTACGTATCATGAGGACTGCGGTCACCTTGTATTTTCCATCACCGGACTGTGGTAGAGACTCATCAGGGCCGAAGAGATCTTCTTTATGCATCTTTACATCTGCCAAAGACTTGTCTGTGGTCCCAAAATAGATCAAGAAGTTGTTACTTGAGCGGGGATTCACTTTTCTATCACAATTATTCTATCATGTTCTTTATGTCAGCGAAGTCTGGTACTTTGCGGCCACTTTTTTGGGTGCTTCCCCGATGGTCCTGATTTGGTGTCGAACGGTTTGGTCAAGTCTGGGACCGACCCCAGGACGCGCGGGGGTGAAACGATTCCCAAGGAAGCTTCCTTCTAAAGAGCTTGGTTGTTACTTAGAAGCTTCAAAGACATATACTAAAGAGCTTCTTAGTTACTAATATCATAATTAATATCATAAGCAAGATCCCGTGGACTCATAGAGAGATTTGACATCCTAGAGGAACCAACGTTTGCTTGGACATGAGGGAGGGAACCCAGATGACTTTTGTTAGTTATTTGGAGATCGACATGAAGTGTCACTGCTCCAATCAATCGGCTGACACTGTTTTGCTCCATCCCTCAGGTCCAGAGGGCCTGAGGTATAGCAAAACTGTCCTAACCCATCAAATCCCTTAGACTTTATCACACCTCGCAGTTCTCTTTCTTTGAGGTCTCTCAAGTGACAACTTCACACTTCGTTGCCTACTCCAATCGGATTTGTTGCTTGTTGTGAGGCTTCCAAAGGCAGCTGGCCACAGTCTGCGACTCAGATAGCACTCGGGTGATTTTCTGCACATCATCCCAGGCTTGGAAGAGCTGCTGTCATACAGTTGTACAGATTTATGTGTTGAAACTGCGAGTATCCTAACTGTTGTTGCCTGTAATTGCTATAAACATATATATATATTTATATACATAACTATATACATTTATACATATATATAAACTAACTTGAGGCTGATTGTTATCACTGCAAGCACATTGCATCATGGTACCTGGTGGCTAAAAAAATCAATAATCAATTAATCATTTGCTTTGTTGGACCAGTGACTGTTTTGTCATATCGGATCTTTCGGTCGATCTCATGAAGAAACACTCGTTTCCCTGGCTGGGCCCACTCGAAGGAACTGGTGCCCCAGTCATGTCTCGAGTTGGCTGACGGAAACACAGATACTGAGCTGTTGTCTCAAAGCAATGGTGTGTTTGATCTGCTTAACGAACATCTGGTGGCCAACTTGGCCTTCAGGCACCAAGCCAATTTCAGGCATGCCCAGAAGATGAATAGGGGTAGGCCTCCAGATACACCACATCTAGAACTCTTTGATCATTTGCACTTGCGCAACATTTGCAATCGAACCAAGTCCTTGTTGGTGATTTTTTGGGGTTCGCACCAAGTCGGGCCGTTTCCTCTTTTCAGGTGGCAGCAATGAAGGCCCTTTCGGGACGACACAGCTGGCCGTCACGTGGTAAGCTTCTTCGCTGGGTGCACAGCGTGTTACTTTCGTTATTTTTCCAGCGAAGGTGCAACATTTATTTGCATTGAACATCACTCAACCAATCTCATTGTATTGTGATCACTGGACAGGTTGTTCAAGGCTGCACAAGAAACGGGACATGCACTTAGAAACGGGCCACTTTGGGAGGTTCTTGGCAAAATCTTTGAGTGCCCGTTTGAGATAAGTCTTGGTCCTGGGTTCCTAGACAAAGCCGATGGCAGAGTTGGATTGAATCGAATCACCCTGGGACCCAGGGCTCCAAGCCGAGAGCGTCTGAGACTCCAGGGGGCTCTATTTTGGAGACCAGCGGTATTAGGTTGGAGACCATGGAGACCATCGCTGATCTTAAAGATCCTAAAGCCTCAGGCTTCAGTCATAGGTGAAAACCACATCGTTGGAGGTGGATGGAGACATCCTGAGACATCATGGGACCAAGACACCACGAAGAAGCCTGGCATGGCCGAAGAACCTCGTCCCGTGAATACATCATTAGAGTGTTTTTTTCCAGGGCTCGCATCCAAACATATGCCTTCCTGGATCAAATCAGATCCTTGAACCTAATGAAGAGGGAATTTGGGGTGGAGGGATTGTAGCATTTGGCCTAGAACGGTTTCGCTGTTCTCATGTCAAAATAACTCACTCCATCACTCTCCCACTTCTGGTGTTGAAGTGGACTGCTTCGTACTGGGAAGTGGGACTGGCAAAGTTGTGTGATCGGAGAGGAGGGCTTTGTGATGTATTCTTTGGCACTGTTCAGACTGGCGAAGGCTCTTTAGCTGCCTCATCCGTTTCTGTCGACCGTGGGTCGAGCCCCAAGCGCGTGGAGGACCGCTGACGGACACCACTGAGTCTTGCGTCGCTTCAAAGATCCACGGGACATAGTGAAACGAGCAGTTCGGGAACCGCAAACCATAGATATGCATGATATGCCTCTACATCATCTTGTTGTAATACAATGTCTCACTTTGCCTTTGAACCAGGAACCCACTTCCATTCTTGTAGATGCAGAAGATGTCGTGGACGATGATCAAGGTTCTCCCCAGAATCCTTGCGGATTCTGAAGGATTTTCAGCAATCCCATTCTGGCAGCTTGTTATAACATGTCGTCATGGTGTCAAATATCTCCCTCGCTCTCGCTCTTTTGCTCCAGGAATGAGCTTTCGCCACCGGAGCGTTCGCCCTTGCGCAGCCCACCGTTGTGAGGACCCTCAGTGCCGATCACCGAAGCCAAAACGGGCCGACCAATGAAGACCACGGATGTGCACGGTTGATTGTCGATTGTTTGAGCCCGTACTTTCAACATCGGGCATACGGTGGGGTGTTTTTGCTTGTTTCTGACCCTTTAAGTTCCCGTGTAGCGATTCAGACCAACACACTGGCACAGTCAACATCAGCTTCTTCTCGACTGGCTCGAGGATACATCAAGTGTCGTCGACTGAGCGTCCCCTGATTTTGCTGTGGGCAGGGACACTCCGGATGTGCTAGACTGCTAGACTCTGCGCCTGTGGAGATGAGGGAAGAGTGGGTCAACAGGAAGTTGGCAAGACAAGAAGGAATCCCTTTTAAAGCCGCCATCCATCAAACAGGAAGTGGAACATTGAAGATTGTCGCTTAGGACATGATGCTCTTTCACACACACAGAAACGTGTTATTTCTGTTGTTGAATGCAGGATAGTTTAACAGCCTATTTCGTAGTGGTCATGGTCCCATGCTGGGGTTGTGCATTGGCCAGGATCGTCTGTCCAATGGGCCAAAGTCTCGAATATACATGACAACATGACATAGCAGTGAAGAGAGTGTGATTGGGATGACCCGGGTCAAGGTCTGGAGACACCATGGGACACCTCAAGAGGTTTTGATGCACAAAATAACAAGCACAAAGCCTAGCTGCCTAGCTGCTTCGCTCAACAAGTTGTACCGGAAGCCAACGTCCTGACCTCCTTGTATCTATGGTCCCTCAATTGTTTGATGTTCGGACCCTGGGCAACTGATGGAAATATGACCACAGCATTTTGAAGGACTTGTGCTAGGCTTGCCGTTGCTTTACTCAGTGGACCACTGTTGTGGGCTTCTTGCTGGATAGTCAGTTGCCGCCACAGGCGCTTGCAGCCATCGATAATGAGGACGAACGAAAGCCTCGTGCTTGGCAACTCCCCAAATACCTTCCTCGATGCTACTGGGTGTAGGGCTTCAGCCGATGAGGAATCACTCAACTCAAAAGGGTGCTGAGGTGGAAAGGAAGTTCATGCAGCTGGGCACTCTGTGAGAATGGATTGCAACTTGGGAAGAGCTGCCTTTTGGCGGTATGTGCCAAGCATGGCATGGGGCTTCAGTTCCAGCCGGCACCGAGAAGGAGTCGTGCATGCAATCGCTCAACAATTCTCTGACTCCAATGACTTTCATGACTCAGTTTATGACTTTCATGTTTTGGGTCCTGACTTCGTTTGTTGACGCGTCATTCTTGGACACTTCAAGAATCGCAGCCATTTGTTTGGATTGCCCGAAGCCTTCGTAGGCAGCTGAGCGGGGATAGACCCTTCCGTGTCTCTTAGAGTTGAGAGAGGATAAAAAGGAATGTTGACGTTGCGTCTTCTCCATTCGCACTATAACAAAAGAGTCGAGATGTAATGAACAGTAAAGCTTTTCATGATTGGGTACCGGGTAGAGGCCCTTCCGAATCATCATCGTCATCATCGTCGTCATCATCATCACCATCACCACCATCACCATCACCATCACCAATCCAATGTTTAAATGTTTTCAATCGCAATTCTATGACCCGATCATATCTTTCGATAGAACCTGGATACAGTGGGGACTCTTGAAGAACCCATTTCTCCATGTTGGACTGCCTTGAATTTGCTATTCCACCAGTATATACATGTTCTTGCAGTGGGGGGACAATTCCAAGCACCAACACAATCAAGTTCGAGTTCCGATGACTCACAGAATTTGGGTTTAGGGTCCAACTCGACAGATCGCCTGGTTTTGAAAGATGTCCACCACCGACGTTCGACGGGTTTTTGCGACCATTTCGACCTGTTGGGATTCCTTCGATGAGTTGGGTGAGTATACAGTGATAGACATCGATTCCATTGACATCGGTGAAGCTCTCTGGCCGTTTTTCTTCCGACCTGGAATGAAATAGCCTGGACAAATCCTTGGTGTTGGGGGGGGATGTATCCCCTGATGTTGCAGGCTTTCAAAATCATTGCCTGTACATGGACTTGGGCCACCGTGAAGGGTCAAAAGCAGGAATTGGTCAAGCCTGGATCTCGTCCAAGGCCACGGGTAAACATCAAATGTCCAAAGCCAGCCTGATTTCGCCGCAAACTCCTCGCTAGCCCTCGGTGACGCTTTGCTCCAAGTGCAGTCTTGAGATGGGGAGCATCGGTCATGATCCACATAGGATTTTCCTCACCCCATCCAAGGAGTTGGAAGACCTGGCAACTGAGACAGTGGACAAATATGACCAATATCGGCTGAGACTTCACCAATCTCACCAAGAAACAGGAATTTATAGGAATTCCAAGTGGAGAAGAACCGCTGGACTTTCATGGAGGCGCGGTTCCCGCAAGTGTGTTTTCGGTCGCATTTCCAGAGGGTCAGACGGAGGATCGTTGCTGACTGGTGACAGGAGAGATAATCATAGATCAACTTGAGGATCGATGGAAACTGTTGTGGGTTTTGTGATGTCAGAGTGCATCCGCATCTTGCACGGGCAAAAATGAGCGTATTTGCAAGCCAATTAGGTGAATCCGGACATTCTACCTACGTTGCGGAAATCCCACAAAAGTTCACAAAAGTTTGACTAAGTACGATTGAGCTACATTCTTGGATTTCTCAAACACTTCACACCCAAACTTCCCAAACATATGTCAACTCGATGGAGGTGTTTTACACAATTATCCACGATCCTCCAAGAACCGCACCAGCGGTATTTTTGGCTTCTAGCATTGTCTTCACATGCTTTCACTCTGGCTTTCCTTCGCATCACCGGACGGATGTGCAGGGCCGGGTAAGTCCAGTCTTCCGGCTGCAGCCCGTGAACGAGGCCGCCACGGTGTGACCAGGTTTTCCCGTGGTGGCCCTTTCACCCCACCATCCCCAGCATCGAGTACTAAAATGAATGGGTACAGCATCATGGGCAGATTGTGTTCTTTTGGAAGGGCCTTAGTAGGGATGCTGGTGTCAATAAACAGGACATTCAGACAGCAACAACCCGTCCGACGCAGTATACAGGCATTCCATGATTGCTCCTGACTCCTGATACACTGTGACTGAAAACAGGGAAAGAAATAGGTCATTTGAAAGCATAGACCTTAGGCATCCTTAGACCACATGACAAGACCAAGGGAAGGCTGCAGACTTCCAATAGTTGCTACTGACTACTGTACTAACTGGCAGCAAGGAGAAGCATTGGAGGCATCTGGCTCTTCTGCACATTCTTGTCTCCTGACAATACTTTGGTGGGTTTGGTAGACTCTTGTCTTCTTTTCTCGTGTAGGCTTCTGGTCGTTGGCTCATGGGGTCACACTGTTCGGGGTGTGGTCCATCACAGGCCTGGGTATCTTCTTTTTGACAGAAATGAGTTGCGAGGTGCAGCCTGCAGCCCTGTAGATGCCTGCCTGTCATTAGATGTCTCCTGAAACACGGACTCTTCTGCCCCAAATTTACCATGTGTGGATCAATCTAGACTAGGACTAATTACATGTTCAGTACATTTTCTACACCCCATATTAAACAGGCGCATCGCTACTAGTAACAGGTGCATCGCTAGTAGTAACAAGTGCCTTACTAGTAGAAACAAGAGGCTAGTGCCTTACTACTAGGAGCAAGAAGCTACTAGGGGCTCCTGGCCTTACTACTAGGAACAAGAAGCTAGTAGTAACAAGTTTCTTACTAGTAGAAACAAGAAGCTATTAGAAACACGTGCCTTACTAACAGGAGCAAGAAGCTACTAGGGGCTCCTGGCCTTACTACTAGGAACAAGAAGCTAGTAGTAACAAGTGCCTTACTAGTAGAAACAAGAAGCTACTAGAAACACGTGCCTTACTACCAGGAGCAAGAAGCTACTAGGGGCTCCTGGCCTTACTACTAGGAAAAAGAAGCTAGTAGTAACAAGTGCCTTTCTAGTAGAAACAAGAAGCTATTACTTAATTCCCCATCTTATAGTGTTCTGATTGCTGGGAAGCCTCAACGATGCCACCGAGAGGTACACGAAACATTGAAAGCTCCGGTCCTAGCGTCCTTGTTCCTAGTAGTAAGGCCAGGAGCCCCTAGTAGTGTCCTTGCCCCTAGTAGCGATGCCAGGAGCCCCTAG